GGAAATGCGCCTGGTAGGGGCCGGGTAGGAGATCGTTGTACTGCCCGTAGAGGCAGCCGTCGTCTGGGATGACGACTTGGATCATGCCAATGACTACTTCGGCTGCTTTGAGGCGGCATTCAAATCCGGTCTCCGGTTTCCCCTCCACAACACAATAAAGGCCATTCTAAGGGGTTACGACCTTGGCATCTAGCAGCTAACACCTAACTCATGGGTGAACATTCTTGGATATATTGCCACCTGCGAGATGCAGGACATAACGCCTAGCTGGGAAGCGTTTGCACATATGCATTACCTCAGTCGTGCCCCAGGCGGCTAGAATGCTTGGTATACATGGACCACGCATCCGGAGTATATGATGACGCTGGAAAAGCCGTCTAAGTGGAGTATCTGGAAGAGCAAATTTTACAGGGTCTCTTCCCCTTCTCCGCAACAGAACCACCGGCTGCATCACTGCAACAAACACCTGTCTCTCCTGGGAAAGAAGTGTGCGCTCCCCAAAATACCGGAGAGGGCCTAGGATCAAATCGTGGAGACGGGTCTTTTCAAGAAGACCACCTTGCCTTTGGAGGATGGGACATAAGTCATTGTCCCTAAATTTTGGGTCCCTCATTTTTTCAAGGACGAGGCGTTCCTTTCTGCCTGTGGCCTTAGCACCTTCTGGAGTAAACGTATGTTGATTGTTAATCGGCACACTTTGCCGTCTGTATGATTTTTAAACAGTTTCTGATTCTTATTCTTCTTCTTTGTAGAGAAAGGATTCGAGATGGTTCTTCCAGAAAAAACTCCGGCTAAGTCAACCGCTGAAATCCGAAAGGAACAGCTGGAGAAGAAACGGGCCCAGCTAGTGGCCAAAGATGATGGGGTAAGAACCGACTGATCTCTCTACCGTCTGTATTGTTTGTAGCTAATGTTGATACTAACCGGTTGTGTTATTTTCTTTTGCAGATGGGGAGCAAGAATGTTCCTCGCTCCATTAGACTAATGTTGAAGAGGCCGGGAGAGGAGCCCTCCATGCCTGCTTCACAAAGGTGGAGGGTCCCGGCTGCCCCTGCCTCTGCCGGAAGACCACTGGCTCCTAAGAGGCCTACTTCAGCATGCAAAAATCTGCGAGATCTGGGCTTGAGCTTTGGGCCGGCTGAGGCCAGAACTAGGGAGCCCGAGGTTCCCTCAAGCTGGGTGCTTGCTGTAGCATCCGGTTCTAATGCGGCTGGGGGTAGCGTGACCCCTCAGCCTAAAAATCAAGGTATTGCTTTCAACTTTGATCCCCCCTGGCCGCTTGGGCCTGTTAGATTTAAGTCCCAATCTACCTAGTAAGGGGATTCTTCAGGCAGCCGGCAGAATATAGGTGGTGCATATGCTCAATACTTAATAGATAAATCTATTGATGCAGATGCCTCTTCTCGTTGGCCGGATATCCAAAGCTACCCCAAGAGAATGCTGAGGACCCTTACCCGGTCCGAAAAGGAGGAGGTACCGAGTATAAACAAGGTCAACATAGACCGCCTTACTGCCCTTCTTGCTGAGGTAATTTTAGCGGTTGGGGCATTTAGAGCCAATCTGGCTTCCCACCGGCTAACCTATACAATGTATTTCATCTCTTTGCCGGTTGTATGTTATTTGAATAACTTAACCCCTTTCCAGCTGTTTTGTAGACAATGCTCAGAATAGAAGGCCTCAAGGTTCCCTTGAGGAAAAAGCAAGAGGAGGTAAGGGTTGCTCACTGTAGGGTTTCGTACTGACTCTCACTACGCGAAATGAAACCCCCAAAGACCCGCTCCCATAATTAAAGCAACTAATACAAGCAAAACATAATTAAAAAACAATGAAGAGTAAGGATAAGAAATATACCCTCGACGCGTGCTTTGCTCTTACAACGAGCTCTTACTTCAACCTCGATAATGCGAGGCCTCCAACGGGATCGTACCCTCGTACCCGACCCTATCATAATAAGCCTCGAAGGTTAGTCAAGGTCTGGAAAAAATATAATCTTAGAGTTTTATGAATTTTAAGGTATACTCAACAATGAAGTTTCTTTTACTATTCCACTCAAGTGTGTTCTTTACCAAATACCCAAGCCTTGGTATTTATAGGGAAATGAACCCTTGATTTTCATTCCCCAACCAATTGATAATTAATTTAATTCTAAATTAAATGAATAATAAAATCAATCACAATGCAACAATTGTCAAGGGGAGAGAGAGAGTTAGGTGAGGACCAAAAGCAGGGGGGGACCATTGCCTTGCTTCCCACGCCTTTGCCCAAAGGATTGGTCCCCACTCTCCCAAACCGACTCCAAGCATTGATGGGCTAGCAGCCAACCTAGCTGGTCAGCGTGCACTGCCAGGCTGTGTGCAACTAGCATGGCCAGCACGCACCAGCCAGCACAGCTAGCGCATGTGTGCTGCTAGCGAGCCACGCATGCTGCTGGCTGCTAGGCACTGCTACAACTGCTGCTGCCTAGCCAACGCACATGCACACACTGGCCCAGGCAGCCGCAAACGCATATGCATTCTTGGTTGCTGGGCGTTGCTGCTTGGACATCGCACACACACACGCACAGCCTTGCTGGCTGGTGCGTAGTGCTACTGGGAATCTGAGCGAGGGCTAGCATTGTGCTGGCACCTAGGCCACGCACATGCCCATTGCGTTTCACATCATGCTGCTTAGTGCTCCCATGCGAAGTCAACCACGCAAGCTAGCACGTAAGTTGCTGCGATGCAAGGCATGCAAAGCATGCACGCATGCCAGCACTCGGTGCTAGTGATGGTGCTGCCATGCTAGGCACGCACGCATGCTAGCGCCTAGTGCTAGCGATGGTGCGCCTAGCACACCTAGTGTGTCTAGGCTTGCGCCTAGCCATGCTAGGTGCATGATAGCTCGAGCTAGCCTAGCATCCACATGGCTAGACCAATGTGGTGCTACGACAATGCTTGTACTTGTTGCTTGTGATTTTGCGACGCTCGGCCTCGACGCCCTAGGCTCAATATCTAATGAGTGACATTTATGTCGCTCTTAGGATAGTCTTTTCTAGTAGTTTTAGTAATAATTCAGTCCATTTTAGTATGTTTTTGCTATGATCCGCCTAGTTCGAGTATTCTACCTTTGTGGTGCGTAATGTGTATTCATGTGGTTTAGGTAGTCTGTACTCCCCTCCCCTTTCGTTGTATTACACTTTGCCTTCCTGTTCCATGATTGCAGGTGTACGCCGTTGATTCGGAGATGGAAGGAACAAGGGCAAAACGGGAAGAACTCCAGACCAGACAAACGGCGCGGGCGCGCCACCTATACGCGCGGGCGCGCATCCCTTGAGCACGGGCGCGCTGATGAGCTAGACCAACCATTAAATACCCACTTTGGAGCGGGCGCGCATTTCCAGGAGCGGCCTCGCCATCATTTAACGCGCGGGCGCACCATTGTTGGGCGTTGGTGCGCCTGTTTGCTTCTGATTCAAATCCCGATTTTAGCCCAAATTAACAAAAGAGAGGCAAAACGACTAACTTTGGAGAACATTCTATCATAGGGATATTTTTAGTATAGAAACCTTAGAGGAGAGCTTTTAAGGAATTTTTCTAGGTTTTTGTTTTAACCACTTTTGTATTGAACAATCTTGATAGTTTTGAGTGTAATTTCATTGTCCATCAACATTAGTTTTACTCTTAGTTTTTGAAGAAGTAATTTTGCAACATTGATGTATGGTCTAATTTGGAGATTGAATGATGTATATATCTTTATTTGGATTTCAATGAAGGTCTTGGTATATTTCTCTATTTTCTCTTGTTTTAATGATTAAAGTTTCTATCTTTGTTAGTTTAGTTGATAAAAACATTGTATTTCTTAATATATCGTTGGTTATAATGTTGCTTAGTATGATTGTAGTTGTAGTTATGACTAGTGAGTAGTTTCTTGTTGCTAGGGGTTTGGTGAAGATATGCTTTGAGTTTGATGTATGCTAGGCTAGGTTAATTTGGAATATTTGTGATTAAATCTTCCTTGTGCTTATACTTATTAGCCACTCCATGTTTATGGCCATATGCATGTTGTGGTTGAATGACTTGAACTAAATCGTGACGATAGTGCGACTTAGGAATAGTCATTAGGTGATTGATTATTGCATGACCTTAGCTTGTATGCCTTACGACGATAGTGTAAGTGTATGCTAGCTAGGAAAGCTCTTAATCCCGATAGGTGATTAGAGAGTATTATTGATATTGCCTTGTATGAGTTGCTTGGGTTACATGTAAACCTATTTTCTGATGCGTAACTTCTTTGAATTCATAGCATGTTTGATCCTTCCCCCTAGTGCTTGTTTTAATTGTTATTCTATCCCCTTTAGTCATTACTTTACCCACCATACTTCTTGATCGAATTAGATTAACATTAGGAGATAAATAGCGGTGCTTAATCGTTTCCCTGTGTTTGACCCTTAACTTGCCTCTATGCTCTTTTAGTTGCATGTTTAGGACTACAAATATCATTTGATAGAGGTGTCTTAGTAACGACCTAAAACACCGCCTGTCAAATTGGCGCCGTTGCCGGGGAGACGGTTTCCATTGTGTGTTTATTTTCTTGTTGAGACTAGTTCTTTTCTATTCTTTTGTTTTTCCGTATCTTGTTAGTGCTCACTTTCTGCTTAGCTTTGTATATGCATTAATTGCTCTACGCCTTTAGTGTCCATAGACCTTGAGCTAGAGCGTACTCTGGCCCAATTGAGGAGACAAGCAAGGGAGAGAGGTGAAGACCCACTTCAAGAGCAAGTGAGAAGTTCCCCTACCCCATCTTCACCCACTTCAAGTGAGGAGAGTGAACCATCCACGGGCTCAATTCCCAATCCATTTGTCTATAACCATAATCAACAAAGCATGGCTGATCAAGGAAACATGGGTGATCAAAGGTCACTAAAGCAACTTGGAGCACCCGAATCATATGCCTCTCAAAGTGGGATCTTAGCCCCCACCACTTAAGCAAACAATTTCGAGATAAAGCCTAATTTCATTTCAATGATAGAGAAGAGGCAATTTACCGGTGGGAAATTTGAGAATCCCCATGAGCATATCAAAGAGTTTCTCAAGTATTGTGACACTATCAAGATCAACGGAGTCTCCCAAGAGTACATAAGATTGAAGATTTTCCCATTCTCACTCATGGGAGCGGCAGAACATTGGTTGAACAAGGATGTCCCCCCCGGTTCCCTCACGACTTGGAATGAGGTAACTACGGCGTTCCTAGGAAGGTTTTACAATCACAAGAAAACCGCCGAGGCTCGCTCAAAGATTCAAAGTTTCCGCCAAAGAGGTGGAGAGTCTCTTTGTGAGGCATGGGAGAGATTCAAAGAGTTACAAAGGCAATGCCCACACCATGGGATTCCTAATTGGCAAGTTCTCCAAACATTCTACGGAGGACTCTCCCCTCAAAGCAAGACTAACCTTGATGCCGGAGCCGGAGGCCCAATCATGAACAAAAGGGAAGATGAAGTGGAGAGTATCATAGAAGATGTTGTGCGCAATTATGAGGATTGGTACGAAGGAGAGAAGGAAGCCACTTCTAGCAAAGGAACGGTACAATCCGTAGAGCAAACCAATGCCATCATAAATCTTTCCAACCAAATGGCAAAGATGGCGAAACAAATGGAGGAGTTCATGAAATCGAGTTCTCAAAATACTTCCTCCCCTCCTCCTAAGGGAGGCCATGGTATGAATCCTTCTACTTCTTCTCCCTCTAATTACAATGCCATGCCTCCTGGTTGTATGTTTTGTGATATATGTGGAGGCTATGATCATAATTCTCAACAATGTATGTCCATAAGTGAAGGTCCCCCTCCCCATGAAAATGATGATAATGTTGAAGATGTTAATGCCATGAATTTTGTGCCCCGTGAGGGAAATGCTGGAATGCGGCCAAATTGGAATCAAAACCTAAACCGTGGTTGGAATCAAAATCAATGGAATCAAAGTGGTGGTGGTTATGATAACGAAGGCCAAGGTAGGGGAAACTCTTCCAATTACAATGGAAGAAGTTACTCAAACCAAAGGTCCAATTGGAATCAAAACCAACAACACTATTCCAATAACCAACAACGTTTTAATTCCAATCAGGGTTCCGGGGGCAATAGACCTCAAAATGCTTCTACTTTCTCACAAAATAGTAGACCCCCCGGTTTCGACCAAGTAAGGCCCCATTCTCAAATTCCCCATACTCAACCCCTTAAAATAGAAGCCCTTCCGGATCCTATGATGACTATGCTTCAAAATTTCATTAAAAATCAAGAAAAGCATAATAAGAGTCAAGAGGAAGAAAAGAAACAAATCAAGGCACACATGAAAATGCTTGAGACCCAAATCTCTCAAATTGCCCAACCAAGTTCTTCATCCTCCCCTTCTTCATCTTCTTCTTTACCTAGCCAAGGTGTCAACCCCAAGTCTATGTATGCCATTACTACTAGAAGTGGGATGATATATAGAGTGATTTAAATGTTGAGAAGAGTTTTGATATACGTGTTTTATACAATGGTTTTCCCCGGTTTTACTTAGTAATTTTATATGGTTTTGAGCTCTACGGAGCCATTTCTTGCTAACAATCTCTTCTTTAGTGTATTCGATTGTTTTAGTAAGCTTTTCAGGAATATGAAGCGTTTCTAGGCAATTGGACGTGTTTTTAGTAGATTCGGAAGAGTTGATAGCCAAGAACTGCAATTTATGTGGAGTGCCCGACCGGGCATGGCTTGCCCGGGCAGACCGGGCAATGAAGAGTTCACAGGAAGAAGCCCAATCCTGAACGGTGCAACGCGCGCCCGATCGGGCAGGCTTCGCCCGGTCAGACCGGGCGATGAAGAAGTCAAGTTATGAAGATGCAATTCTGGAAACGTGTTACGCGCGCCCGACCGGGCGAGGTTCGCCCGGTCTGACCGGGCAAAGAAGGAAAACTGTCGTATTTTACGCAGCCTTCCTCCGCCCGATCGGGCGAGGTTTGCCCGGTCTGACCGGGCGATGTTCAAGATTGCGCGATTTCAGCTATTTCCGAATTTCTATCTTTTGAGGGTATAAATACCCTTTTGTAATTAACTTTTAAAGAGAGTTTTTCATTAGTTTTTCTCCTTAAGCCCTAGAAAACTCTCAAGAACCCTAGTTTTATTTCCTTTAAGCAATTTCAATCTTTTAATCCCAGATTAATCAATTGTTCATCAACAATTTGAGTTCTTTCAATTGGAGTAATTGGTATTTATCTTACTTCACTCTTTTCTGATATTCACTGTTCTCTAAATATGTTTTCTTTACTGTTTCTTGTTTTTGAACTTGATTTTGATTTTATTATGATGTGTGAGTAGTTTCCTTAATCCGGGATCTTGCTAAGCTCGATTATGATTGATGTATAAAGTAGATCTTTAAATTCCCCAATAATAATCCCAATTGACATGCTTAATTGATTGTGTTTATGCCAATACTAGATTAGGAATAATTAGTATTGTTATCATCCCTTTGTTCTTATTGCAACGGAAGTTGGGTATTAACGGGATTAGGTTATTCCAATTAAGGGTTTGAAGATCATCACGGAAGTAGATGATTGAATAATTAGGAATCTAGGCATGGTGTTTAATGTCCCTTATTCGCTTGATTCCACGGAAGTAGGCTTGATAGTTAATTTGGGAAGCCATTGATAACTTGGAAGAGACCTTTGGTATTATTATTAGGGATTGCTTTTCTTCTTGTCAATTGATTTATATATTGGGGGTAGATTTATTAGTTTATCAATCATAATCGTGGTAATGCTTGATCTTGGATGCTTTAGTTTATTGATTAATATTTCCTCTAGTTAATTGTGTTATTTAATATATTAGTTGATTATTATCATCCATTATTGATTGGTGACGTGCTTAGTGATTAATTGAGTCTGATTAATTGAATGAACCATAGTCTCTTGGGATTCGATCCTTACTTGCCCTACTACACAGTTAGAAGGAATAGTTAGGTTATTTTTGTTAGGTACGCGATAAGCCTATCAAATTTTGGCGCCATTGCCGGGGACTAACGGTTTCATATTGATTTTCCGTGATTCGTTTTTACTAAGCGTTGTTTGTTGCTTCGGCTATTGCCTCCTGTGTTTTTGATGTTCTTTGCCTAGTTCTTTGTTGTATGCAAACACGTCGCTCAGGGTCAGACGACTTAGTGCCTCTCGATTCAGAAATTGAAGCGACTGCAAGAAGACGAAGAAGTAGAAGAAGAGCAGGTAACAGAAATATGGAAGACCAAGCAACAAAGTCTCTTTTGGAGTACGGTATCCCTGACACAACAACCGGACTCCTTTCTAGCATTGTTAGACCACCTATCACCGCTCAGAATTTTGAATTGAAACCGCAGTTTATTCAATTCATATCCAATGATTCATTTGCTGGCACACCTCTTGATTGCCCAGTGAATCATATAGATGGTTTCTTGGAAAAGTGTGACACTATGAAGCTGAATGGTGTTACAGATGATGCTCTTAGACTTCGCCTTTTTCCATTCTCATTACGGGATAGGGCGAAGGAATGGTTAAGAGATGAGGGTTCTGGTTCCTTTGATACATGGGATAAACTAGTAAAAGCTTTTCTGGTCAAGTTCTTGGGACAAGAAAAGACTGCAAGATTAAGGAACGAGCTATCCACTTTCAGGCAATCAGATGAAGAATCCTTATATGACGCATGGAGGAGATTCAAGAGATTACAGAGACAGTGCCCTCATCATGGCATACCTGAATGGATGTTAATCCAAACCTTTTATAACGGTCTAACCCATGAATTCCGGATCTATATCGACGCCGCATCTGGAGGCTCCCTTTTAACTAAAAATCCAACCGAAGCAAAGGAGCTGGTTGAGAAGATGTCAGCCAATGACAACTATCACCCAGGCGGCCGAAATAGTGTCAAGAAAGGAGGTAAATTAGATGTTGATGCTCTAACTCTTTTAACTAGTTCTGTGCAGGCACTTTCAAGCAAGTTCGATAGATTACAAACTGGATCTTCTTATAATGTGCTAGAAACTTGTCCAATGTGTAATACTCAAGGTCACATCGCACCTAATTGCCCACGAAATTCGAATGAGGTATCAATTGAGGAAGCCAATGCCTTCTACAATTCCAACCCTAAAAGACCATACGATCCCCATTCTAATACTTATAATGAAGGTTGGAAGAATCACCCAAATTTCTCATACAAAAACACCCAGGCTCAGCAAAATCCACCTCCGCCCCCACCTCGAAACAACAATTATAATCCACCTGGTTTTCAACCAAGACCACCCCTAGTACAACAACCCATGCAACCTATGCAACCACTCCCTCAAAAATCCAATCTCGAACTAATGATGGAGAACTTCATCAACACCACAAATAATTCCATCCAACAGTTACAAGCCCAGAATAAGCTCATGGAAAATCAAATAAGCCAACTTGCTCATCAAGTCGGCCAATCTTCAAAAACACCAGGTACGTTTCCTGGCCAAACAGAGCAACCACAAAAGGGGCACATGAATGCTGTAATTTTAAGGAGTGGAAAACAGTTGGAAGACCTTCCCGTAAGGGAACCATCAACGATAGATATTGAGGGAATGAGTGAAAAACAGGGGATTTTGCAAAATTCTTCTTCGCCCGGTCAGACCGGGCAATGTCCGCCCGATCGGGCGCGAGAAGCAGTCGACGAAAAACAGGGGACTGTGCGAATTTCTTCTTCGCCCGGTCAGACCGGGCAAGGTCCGCCCGATCGGGCGCAAGAAGAAATTCCAGACAAACAGAAGAACATAAGCAGCTCTTCTTCGCCCGGTCAGACCGGGCAATCACTGCCCGACCGGGCGGGAGATCCAGACAGCCTAATTCCAAGGAATGATGTTCAAGAAAAGCCACGGGAACCGATCCCACCTCTCGCCCCATACATGCCAAGAGTCCCTTTCCCACAGAGGTTAGCCCAGGCTAAGTTAGAGAAAAAGTACGGTAAATTTCTAGACATCCTTAAGAAACTTCACATTAATATACCGTTCTTGGATGCAATTTCTGAAATGCCTTCTTATGCAAAGTTTTTGAAAGACATGCTATCTAACAAGAAGAAGCTTGCAGAGAATGCTACTGTTTCTCTAACTGCAGAATGTAGTGCCATTCTGCAAAACACTCTTCCTAAGAAACTAGGTGATCCAGGCAGCTATTCAATCCCAGTGAAGCTCGGAGATATAGAGATCAATAGAGCGCTATGCGATCTTGGTGCAAGTGTAAGCCTTATGCCGCTCTCCATCGGCGAAAAGCTTCAAATGGGTGAGCTAAAGCCTACAAGGATATCTCTGCAACTTGCAGACAGGTCAGTTAAATTTCCCCTCGGTATACTTGAAGATGTTCCATTGCGAGTTGGTAAATTCTTTATTCCATGTGATTTTGTTGTTATGGAAATGGAAGAAGATGCCCATGTCCCTATTATTCTTGGTAGACCATTCTTAGCTACTGCAGGTGCAATTATTGACATGAAGAATGGGAAAATAACATTTGAAGTAGGGGATGAGAAAATGGAGTATTCATTACTGAATGCTATGGGAAATCCGTCTATGGGTGAAACTATTTGTCAAGTGGATGTCCTCGATGATCTACAACAAGAACAACTTCCCCTGATCAAAAAGGAAGATGCTCTTGAAACGGTGTTGATAGGGAGTATCCATGATGAAGATTGGGAAGTAAGGGAGTACACGAGGCTACTAGAAGACGCAAAAGCTAATCCAATCATCGCTCCAGTCAAGGAAGTCCTTAGTACATCGAGTGTTGGGGAGAGTTCGACGCCTCCCGAGGTAGAGTTGAAACCCCTTCCATCTAATCTTAAATATGCATATCTTGGTCCTAAAAATACATACCCTGTTATTGTTAATGCTGAGCTTAATAACATTGAATTAGAGAAACTTCTCGCTGTTTTAAGAAAATATAGAAATGTTATTGGGTATACCATTGATGATATCAAGGGTATTAATCCCTCTTTTTGTATGCATAAGATCATTCTTGAGGACGATCATGCCTCCTCTAGAGAACCTCAAAGAAGGCTAAATCCAACTATGATGGAGGTAGTCAAGAAAGAGGTTCTCAAATTGCTTGCTGCAGGAATAATCTACCCTATCTCAGATAGTAAGTGGGTTAGTCCTGTACAAGTAGTACCAAAGAAAGGAGGTATGACAGTTGTCAAGAATGACAAAGGCGAGCCTGTTGCCACAAGAACTGTTACAGGGTGGCGGATGTGCATTGATTACAGAAAATTAAATAAAGCCACCCGTAAAGATCATTTCCCCTTGCCTTTCATTGATCAAATGCTCGAACGATTGGCTAACCATTCCTTTTTCTGTTACTTGGATGGATATTCCGGTTTTTTTCAAATCCCCATCCGCCCTTGTGATCAGGAAAAGACTACATTCACATGTCCATATGGCACCTTCGCATATCGCAGAATGCCATTCGGACTGTGTAATGCCCCAGCCACGTTCCAACGGTGTATGATGGCTATTTTCTCAGGTCTCATAGAAAATTCTATGGAAGTTTTTATGGATGATTTTTCTGTTTATGGTTCATCTTTCGATATTTGCCTTGATAATCTAACAAAGGTGCTCCATAGATGCCAGGATGTCAATCTGATATTGAACTGGGAGAAGTGCCATTTTATGGTACAACAGGGAATCGTTTTAGGCCATGTAGTTTCAAACAAAGGGATTGAGGTGGACAAAGCCAAAGTAGAGGTAATAGAGAAACTTCCCCCTCCAAATTCTGTGAAAGAAGGAGAGCAAGTCCTTCTATTCAATTCAAGGTTGAAACTATTTCCAGGGAAACTCAGGTCAAGATGGTCGGGCCCTTTCACGGTCTACAAAGCATATCCTTATGGCACCATTGAATTATGGAACAACACCGGGGGCACCTTCAAAGTCAATGGACAAAGGGTGAAGCACTATCGAGCGGGAGATCCTATTGAAGAAAAGTCAGATATCACATTCTCTTCCTCACCACAAACTCAATGAGGATGAATACGGTCAAGCTAATGACCTTCTAAACAAGCGCTTGCGGGAGGCAACCCGATTCTTTTTGAGGAGCCGTCGAGATTCCTATGCTCTCCTTACGCTGCAATGAGGCCATTGCCGCATTTAGCTTGGGGGAGTTGCTTCGTACATGTGGTACTCTCTCTCTCCTTATCTCTCTTATCTTTCTTGTTTTATTTTAGTGTAGTTATTTTAGTTGTTTTTTTAAAAAAAAAAAAAAAAAAACATACAAAAAATACGATCCAATGAATAATAAATCATGCTTCCCTGTGCCCCATTCATGAAAATTGTTTTAACTCTTGGTATATGATGACGAGTATTGTGGATAGGTTAGCCATGATTTGATGTTTGATTACTTGGATGTCTTAACATGAGTCAATTTTGCCCAACTACTTGTAAATATAGTGCTTGACTAGTTGATTTGGTTAGGAATGTGTGTTAGTTCCTGGTATGTCAATGAAGTTGAGTATTGGTTTATAACTTTGAGTAATGTTTGCATGACTCATTAATATGCACATTGAGGAGGACGAAGGCATTTGTTCCTCTAGGTGGCTTTCAGACGATATTAGATACATTTGTTCCCTTCTTGCTACCCATGTTGTTGCTTGTGCCCTTTTATTGTTTATTTTGCCACATTACAAGCCTATTTAAGCCCCATTGGTTACTAGTCCCAAGCTTGGCTTGGGGGAGCTAATAGTGAGTGAGGTGAGGGAGTTGTAGTGTGCATGTAATCTGCACAATTTTGGGTGGATTTGAGAAGTTTTTATTTGTTCTTATTGTTGTGGATTGAAAAAATTGGAAATTTATTGTGCAAAGAAAAAATTCCAATGTGAGATGAAAAAAAAGGGAAAAGAAAGAGCAAAAGAAAAAATTGTTTCAATGTTCAAGTGTTCTAATTGAAGGCTGCTCAAGAAAAAAAAGGAGAGTTCAAAGTTTGTTTGTTCACTCAAGTTCTATAATTTTATATTTTGTATATATGAGTGAAATTTTAAGTGTTGGAAATTTTTAATATAATTGGATGTTTGGTGAATTTTTGGTAGAGTTGAGTTGTGTTGGAGATGATTTGGTCATTAATTCATTTTGATCTTGGTTTTATTTATTAGGATTTTGGCTCCCTTAAGCATAGCTTTACTCTTACATTTTCCCAAATATTTCCTACCTTTTATCCTAGCCTTACATTACAAGCTTTGAAGACCTTCTGACCTTTGTGCATAGAGTTGTGTGAATGTGAAATTAGTTGTTTTCCAATGCAAAGAATGATTTGATATATTTCGAGTCGACTGCTAGGTTGAGTGCTTGTTTTCTTTAAACACACGAGTGCGTGAGTTTGGGAGGGCATTGTTCACATTTAAAGGAGTTGGATGGAGAGCGATCGAGTATATCTTTTACTCGCCACATAAATGAGAGTTGAGTGTGTGAACACTAGTCTTGAATTCTATATGCTCTTGTGGTTTGCTCTATTTGACTATTGTCAGACAGGATGAGTAGTCAGATGGATTTGATTGGTTGACTTTGATGCATAACTGTCGAGTTTACCTTTAATCGTATTTATTGATTTGAATTGCTTTTGGGGTGAAGTATTGATTTATTTATTCATTGCTTTGCTTAGGGACAAGCAAAGGTTTAGCTTGGGGGAATTTGATATACGTGTTTCATACAATGGTTTTCCCCGGTTTTACTTAGTAATTTTATATGGTTTTGAGCTCTACGGAGCCATTTCTTGCTAACAATCTCTTCTTTAGTGTATTCGATTGTTTTAGTAAGCTTTTCAGGAATATGAAGCGTTTCTAGGCAATTGGACGTGTTTTTAGTAGATTCGGAAGAGTTGATAGCCAAGAACTGCAATTTATGTGGAGTGCCCGACCGGGCATGGCTTGCCCGGGCAGACCGGGCAATGAAGAGTTCACAGGAAGAAGCCCAATCCTGAACGGTGCAACGCGCGCCCGATCGGGCAGGCTTCGCCCGGTCAGACCGGGCGATGAAGAAGTCAAGTTATGAAGATGCAATTCTGGAAACGTGTTACGCGCGCCCGACCGGGCGAGGTTCGCCCGGTCTGACCGGGCAAAGAAGGAAAACTGTCGTATTTTACGCAGCCTTCCTCCGCCCGATCGGGCGAGGTTTGCCCGGTCTGACCGGGCGATGTTCAAGATTGCGCGATTTCAGCTATTTCCGAATTTCTATCTTTTGAGGGTATAAATACCCTTTTGTAATTAACTTTTAAAGAGAGTTTTTCATTAGTTTTTCTCCTTAAGCCCTAGAAAACTCTCAAGAACCCTAGTTTTATTTCCTTTAAGCAATTTCAATCTTTTAATCCCAGATTAATCAATTGTTCATCAACAATTTGAGTTCTTTCAATTGGAGTAATTGGTATTTATCTTACTTCACTCTTTTCTGATATTCACTGTTCTCTAAATATGTTTTCTTTACTGTTTCTTGTTTTTGAACTTGATTTTGATTTTATTATGATGTGTGAGTAGTTTCCTTAATCCGGGATCTTGCTAAGCTCGATTATGATTGATGTATAAAGTAGATCTTTAAATTCCCCAATAATAATCCCAATTGACATGCTTAATTGATTGTGTTTATGCCAATACTAGATTAGGAATAATTAGTATTGTTATCATCCCTTTGTTCTTATTGCAACGGAAGTTGGGTATTAACGGGATTAGGTTATTCCAATTAAGGGTTTGAAGATCATCACGGAAGTAGATGATTGAATAATTAGGAATCTAGGCATGGTGTTTAATGTCCCTTATTCGCTTGATTCCACGGAAGTAGGCTTGATAGTTAATTTGGGAAGCCATTGATAACTTGGAAGAGACCTTTGGTATTATTATTAGGGATTGCTTTTCTTCTTGTCAATTGATTTATATATTGGGGGTAGATTTATTAGTTTATCAATCATAATCGTGGTAATGCTTGATCTTGGATGCTTTAGTTTATTGATTAATATTTCCTCTAGTTAATTGTGTTATTTAATATATTAGTTGATTATTATCATCCATTATTGATTGGTGACGTGCTTAGTGATTAATTGAGTCTGATTAATTGAATGAACCATAGTCTCTTGGGATTCGATCCTTACTTGCCCTACTACACAGTTAGAAGGAATAGTTAGGTTATTTTTGTTAGGTACGCGATAAGCCTATCAAGTTCCGATGTGAGGATAGGACTTGAGGTTGAGGATGAGTCGTCAAGAGAGAATGAGATTCTAGAGGGAAGTGGCGGAAAGGATGAGAGGGGTGAGAAAGAGAAAGAGAAGGAACCCGAAAAGGAGAGCACCAAAGATCAAACACCTTTACCCCTTAATCTCCAACCTAGGAATGAGAGGTTGCCTTTTCCCCAAAGATTTGCTAGGTCTAGGCTTGATGTCCGATTCGGAAAATTTTTAGATGTAGTAAAGAGCTTGCATGTTTCTATACCCTTTGTGGATGCTATGAAAGAGATGCCACACTACTCTAAATTCGTAAAAGACCTCTTGAATGGAAGGAGAGAAGTTGAAACAGTTAGCCTAACCGCAAATTGTAGTGCTATTCTCTCTAGTAAGCTACCAATTAAATTGCAAGATCTCGGTAGTTTTTCCATCCCTTGTTTAATTAATGAGGTTCATTTGGGGAAAGCTTTGTGTGATCTAGGTGCTAGTGTGAGTTTAATGCCCTTCTCGGTCTACCAAAAGCTTAATGTGGGTAACCTTTCACCTACAAACATCACCCTCTAACTAGCGGATAGGTCCACAAAATTGCCTATAGGGAAAGTAGAGGACATACCCCTTAGAGTTGGTAAGTTCACTTTTCCGGTGGACTTTTATGTTCTTGAGATGGATGAAGATGAAAGAATTCCTATAATCTTGGGTAGGCCATTCCTAACTACTTCTAAAGCAATTATTGATGTCAAAGAAGGCAAGATGACCTTGAAGGTTGACAATGATTCTATCGAATTTGATTTGAATAAGGTAATGAGACAATCTTCCTCTAATAATGAATGCTTTAGAACAGATACAATTGAAAACTTGATGAATGAGTTTAGATACCCTCATATGCCTGCTTCTAATGATCTACTTGAGAATGTTTTGTTGAAAGAGAATGAGGTAGGTGATCAAAAGGAGATGCAATTATATGAGGAAATGCTTGATGAGAAAGAGGAGACAACCCCCGACCAAGAGATGCTCCAAACATATGAAGTCTTCCAAGTAGAAGAGGAGGAAATCTCTAATGGTAAGGTAGCTCCGAAGGTATAATTGAAACCTCTACCTTCGGGCTTGAGGTATGTCTTTTTGGATGCTAATGATACTTTTCCGGTCATTGTCAATGCTAACCTCACGGAAGAGCAAACCTCCTCATTTCTTAATGCTTTGAAAAAGCATAGGAAGGCTTTGGGTTATACTCTTGATGATCTTAAGAGTATAAGCCCCTCCCTATGCATGCATAAAATCGATTTAGAGGAGGGTACTATGCCGTGTAGGCAACGACAAAGGAAACTTAATCCTTCCATGCAAGAGGTTGTAAGAAAGGAAGTTTCCAAGCTACTTGAAGCGGGGATCATCTATCTAATCGCTCATAGTGATTGGGTGTCCCCGGTTCAAGTAGTGCCGAAAAAGGGAGGTATGACGGTAATGGTCAATGATAAGCAACAATTGGTCCCAACTCGGCTTGTTACGGGTTGGTGTATGTGTATTGATTACCGCCAATTAAATGCCAACACTTCCAAAGACCATTTTCCATTACAGTTCAACGATCAAATGCTTGAGAGGCTTACAAAGCATGCTTTTTATTGCTTTCTTTATTGTTATTCGGGATTCTTCCAAATCCCAATTGACCCAAAATATCAAGAAAAGACCACTTTCACTTGTCCCTACGGTACTTTTGCTTACTGTAGGATGCCTTTTGGTCTTTGTAATGCCCTGGCTACCTTCCAAAGATGCATGATGTCAATTTTTAGTTAAATGATCGAGGAAGAAATGGAAGTTTTTATGGATGACTTTTCCGTTGGTGGAGGCACGTATGAGAAGTGTCTAATGAATTTATCTCGTTGTTTAGAAAGGTATGAGAGTGCCAACTTGGTGCTCAATTGGGAGAAATGCCACTTCATGGTGGAAAATGGCATTGTTCTTGGCTATAAAATCTCCCAAGCGGGCATCGAAGTTGATGGTGCGAAGGTTGATGTGATTGAGAAGCTTCCTCCTCCCATAAATGTGAGAGAAGTGAGGTCCTTCCTTGGTCATGCCGGCTTTTATCGCCGCTTCATCAAAGATTTCTCTTTGATTCCTAAGCCTCTCACATCTCTCTTGCAACAGGGTAAAGAATTTGTGTTTGATGAAGCTTGTCATGAGTTATTTTGTAGGTTGAAAAGGGCTCTTTGCACCGCCCCCATAGTCCAAGGACCGGATAGGTCTCTACCATTCGAGCTAATGTGTGGTGCAAGCGACGAGGCCATTGGATCGGTTCTAGGACAAAGAAAGGATGGGAAACTTCACGTTATATACTATTTGTCCAAGACTCTCAATGATGCTTAACGGAATTATACAACTACCGAAAAAGAGTTTTCGGCGGTTATCCACTCATTTGAGAAGTTTAGAACCTACCTCATTGGTTCTAGGACAATAGTTTATACCGATCACTCGGCTCTCAAATATTTGATAAGTAAGAAGGAGGCCAAACCGAGGTTGTTGAGATGGGTCTTGGTCCTTCAAGACTTTGATTACGAAATGAGAGATAAGAAGGGAGCCGAGAACGTGGTGGCGGACCACCTCTCTAGGTTGGGAGGTGCAAGAATACATGAACACGGTTTTCCAATTGAAGATGCCCTAATAGATGATGTCTTATATGCTCTTGAGGCAAAATCGGAGCCTTGGTATGCGGATATTGTGAACTACTTGGTTTGTAGTGCCATACCTCCGGATTTCACTCCTCAACAACATCTAAGGCTAAAGCATGAAGCAAAGAAGTATATATGGGATGACCCCATGTTTTTGAAGAGAGGGGTGGATAGACTTTTGAGAAGATGTGTTCCTAATGAAGAGTTCCAAGATGTGCTCTCAATGTGCCACTCATCCCCTTGTGGTGGTCATATGAGTGCTCAAAAGACCGCTTCCAAGGTTTTGAAATGCATGCTCTTTTGGCCCTCTCTATTCAAAGATGCTTGGCAATTTGTTAAGACTTGTGATAGGTGCCAAAGGATGGGGAACATATCAAGGCGTGATGAGATGCCCCAAAATCCGATTCTTGAACTAGAAATTTTTGATGTTTGGGCAATTGAATTCATGGGCCCTTTCATCTCATCCCAAGGAAACCGGCACATTCTAGTTGCCGTTGATTATGTTTCCAAATGGGCGGAAGCCGTGGCATCTCCCACCAACGACTCAAAGGTGGTCATCAATTTGTTCAAGAAAGTCATCTTCCCAAGATTCGTTGTTCCTAAGGCAATCATAAGTGATGGAGGCTCACACTTCAAGCACCATACATTCAACAAGCTTCTTTCAAAGTATGGTGTATCGCACAAGCGAGGCCTTGCTTACCACCCCCAAACAAGTGGTCAAGCGGAGGTCACAAATAGGGAGTTGAAAGTCATCTTGGAGAAGACCGTTGCTAAAACAAGGAAGGATTGGTCTAGTAAGCTCATTGATTCATTGTGGGCATATAGGACCGCCTTCAAGACTCCTATAGGGACTACCCCCTATAAGATTTTTTATGGGAAGAATTGCCATTTACCCGTAGGAGATGGAGCACCGAACGCCTTGGGCAATCAAGCAAATCAACTTTGATCTCCATAGTGCGGGTGAGCAAAGACTTCTAGAGCTTCATGAGTTGGAAGAGTTGAGAATGAACTCCTATGATAGTGCAAGCCTCTACAAAGCAAGAACCCAGGCATGGCACGACGCTCAAATTTCCAAGAAGGAATTTGTGGAAGGACAAAAGGTCTTACTCTACAATTCAAGACTCAAGCTCTTCCCCGAGAAATTGAGGTCTAGATGGAGCGGTCCATTTCAAGTATCCAAAGTCTTTCCTTATGGCTCAGTTGAGGTATTCAATGACAAGTACCCTCCATTCAAAGTGAATGGGCACCGTCTCAAGCCATACTATGAGGGTCAACTAATTGAGAAGCCGGAAAATTTATCGCTCATTGATGTTTTCAAGTCACCATGATTCTTTTGTGAAGGACGTCAAGCTAATGACGTTAAAGAAGCACTTACGGGAGGCAACCCGGTTTTCAACTTTTTATTTATTTATTTTATTTCCTTTGCCACACTTGAACTAATCCATCTAACACTTTTCTTAATCAATTGTGATGTAGGTGTGATTGTGTAGGTCCATGAGGAAAGAGAGATAAGAGTTGAAGCAAAATGAAATTTTTATTGAGGAGTTGTGGTCAAATGAAGACCAAAGACAAAGAGCCAGCGCGATTTGGTCGCGGCAGAAGAGCGAGCGCGAGTAGAGAAAGGCGCGAGCGCGCGTCAAACAGGCGCGGGTGTTCCAGTTCTTGGGTCACAAATTGCCATCATTCCAGAACGTAGGAACGATTTTATCGCGCCAAAGGATTGGTTCGCGTCATCAAAGGAGCGCGGGCGCGCCTGACTCTGTCGCGGGCGCGCCATCTGCTTGGTCTAAAAGGTCTCCGATTCCAGAAAGAAGGAGTGATTTTGTCGAAGCTAAAGAGCGGCCCGCGATATCAAAGAGGTGCGGGTGCGCTTATTCAGGGCGCGGGCGCGTCAATAGTTTGGTCTGATTTCCAGGGAGTTGGAGCGATTTTATCGCGATTTAGGAGCGGGCCGCGTTTCACTGAGGCGCGGGCGCGCCTTTATAAGAGCGGGCGCGCCTTTCTGGGTTTCAGAAAAAAAATACGGCTTCGTCTTTTGTTTCCGCAATCTCCCTTAAACCCTCACAAACATAACTCAAACTCCCTCATTGCCTTTCCCTCTCTTCGCGGCCGCTCCTCACCACCATACTCAAGATCATCTTCTTCCATCCTCTTAAATCAATCATCCTCATAAATCAATCTCTTGAAGCTTCAATCATTCATCATCAGCGTTTGTTCATCATCAAAGAAAGCAAATAGGCATCCTCAACACCAACCGCAACGAACTCCTTGCTACTCAAAACCTTCAACAAATCGACACCAAAACAACAATTTTTCGCATAAGGGTAAAGGTATTAAATTTCCTTCGTTAATTATTCTCTTTTGATTAATTTTTAAGCAAGGATTTTGATTATCTTAGGTTATTAGCGAAATTTCGTTGATTATTGTTGAAATTACTGCTGGATTCTGTTGAAATTGTTCTTGTTGGTTATTATCTTAGGCTATATTCGTTGTGTTGGTTGGATTATTATTGCTTGTAAACAGGTATAGTTTTGTGGAGGTTAAGGGTGGAAATAGCCGGAGTTAGCTTTGAAAAGGAGTGAAAACAGAAAAAAAAAAAAAAAAAAAAAAAAAAAAAAAAAGAGAGGTGGGCAGTCATGAGTCAGACCAACCCAATGTCTTACCCACCTTAAAATTCTTAAACAAAAGCCACTCCTCCATATACTCTGACATGAAAAAACGAAAGTTGCGACCTTCTAGGCACTACCATCGTGGAGACATGATAAAACTTGGAATAAATGACGATTTGTGGATTCTTTTTGACAACCTTCGACTAGGGTCATTCGTAAACTCTTCATTCATGACCTACCAAGAACCCACCTTAGAGTTTTTCTCGTCTTTTCATGTTAACACACTAGAAGACAACGACTTTCGGATATCTTTCCAACTCTTCAACAACCCCCACACCATGTCACTGGCACAGTTCAACCAAGCCCTGGACTTTCACTCCGATGCCGACCTTCTCTACCCTTTTTATGAGAACTTTAGGGAGTATAATGAGTACGCTTGGTGGCGTTCCATTTCAGGTAAAAATGAGTTTCACACCAGGACTTCCATAGCCAGTGAGATTTGACACCCTGTCCTTAGGATCCTACACCGTTTACTAGGGTATTCTATCATTTGTAAACAGGACCTAGGAAAACTGACTAAGGAAGAGGTCCTTTTCCTATGGATAACCACAAAGGGAGAGCATGCACGGAGGTTGAATTTGGGTTTCCTCTTTATGCAAACCTGCCAAGCCATAGCAAAGGGAAAAATCCATGGGAGATACATCGCAGGGCGATGGTCACTAGATTGTCCACCAAGTTAGGTTACACTGACCTTCTACCTCTATGCACGGCCATTGGGGATATTTACCTTGACTTAGACCAGCTTCGCCGCTCT